CTTTCGAATTATTACAATATAGAAATTGAGACATTATGTCTTTGACCTATTAGTTCCTGCTAGCGATCGAAAAATCGCTTTTTATGTAGAAAAATCACCAGAAATGACCGGAAAAAATATGTAATATAATTGGAGCTTGTTTGGTTTGGCTGGGTCACAATCTCCTATACGTGAAAACTGAAAACTATACTTTCCGACGAATGACATTTATTGGCGGCGGACTCGGGACTCCTCTCTCTAGGTGGTGTCTATCTTCTTGTCCGATATGGTTCCAGGTGAGATTACATTCACCAAATCCAACGTCAAGACAAATTATCCCTGGAGTCTCCAGCGGCCCTGACATCAAGTTTTCGGTAAGCCTTCCAGTTTCCGGCGATGCTCAGTTCCACAGAGTAACGGGCCAAAATTGTAGGCGGCAAATCTTATGCCTGCCTCCTGGATCACTAGGGCTTACTTAGCGAGACAATGACATTCACGTAGTTAGCTTCCTCTTCGGCCATCCAATTCGAGAGAATCACTCTGTATCTCATGAATATCTCGTCCATAAGTTTTCGTTGCGGACCAAACTGACGGACCAGTAGTGGCTCCATCACGGCCCTAATGCACCTTGCCACATTGTGCCCGGCGTCTTGTCGGGATTCAGGCAAGTTTACTTCTCCGTCATAGGGATTCCAACTAGATTCCCAAACCTCTAGACGCTCAATGGCGAAAGAGCCCTGTTTCTGGACTTCAGATTCTACTTCCGTTGGGGATGGCATGTAAGTTGGGAGATTGAAGGAGTCCAGTTTCCCTTGATCTACCAATCCCTGAGGAGTACAACAACATAATTATTATAGCAAAGTATGAAGAAACATAACATCCTAATAATTAGATCAACAAATATGTTTCACCGTACCTCGGATGCCATTTGATTGAGGACCACAGACAATAGTTGGTGGACATAGAAGTACCGCATGGTGGAAGGACTTTGACATCTCCTTCCCAGTAATGTAAAAACAATTCGTCCTCCTCGTACCAGCTCTTGCGCCCTGCAGCTCAGGAAGAATGAGAAATCCCTCTGGAATTGAGCGTAATAGGCTTTTGAAACACTTGAGGGACTACTGCTCCCAACAGAAATGTTTCCCTTATTCATCTCTTCCAGACCGGGAGGAACCCGAGATAGCCAGTGGAGGCTATAGGACGAGTGAATGAAGTGAAGGCTGTCGGATGGGAAAAGCTTGCCATAGAAAGACCCAGGCACTCCATTGAAGAACATCGGTAGCTCGATCCCCAATTCCTGCTTCATCTTTTCTGTGAACCCGTGCAAGGACCTGAAGACACTGTTGAAGTCATTTCCGGGGAGGTCATTCAGGAAAACCTGAAACTCGGGAGATTCATGGCCTAACTCCCTGCTAACCTTGGCCACTGCTTTGATGAGCTCTGACATGGCGAAAAGAGTGTTGGGTCCTGAAGCGCATCCCAGATCGGCGATCGCTAGATTCCGTCCGCAGAAGTTGGAGCTGCTGACGAGCCCCACAGCGGCTTCCTCTATTATGGGTCGAGTCATTGATATCACCTTCCGCTGCCAAAAAGAAGAAAGGAAGTAAAAATCTCGAATTGATGCAATGCGTTACCCCTGTCGATGGATTTCAAACAGATCGGACTCTCTAATAAAATTTACCTGCAGCAAGGAGTTGGCGGCATAGCTTGAGTCTTCCGTTCCACCATTCATATGAAGCACATGAGACACAGACTCTTCCATCTCAGAGTATTCCTTCTTCTAAACAAGGTCTTAATTAGAAAGTAGCTGACTTTGCCTTGCAATTGCAAATGAGCCGCCTTCTTTCCTTAAATAAATAGAAAGGCCGCAACAGTACGTACCCATGGTTGAAAGGCCGCTACAAAACCACGTCTAGCGTCAAACGTGGCCAAACGGAAGCCATATTATGAGTTTACCCTTTCTTTATCCCAAGAAAATATATTATTGACGCCAAATAAACAACCAACTACTGTTTCTTCCGCCCCCAAAAGTCCAAAACCAGCTACAATATTTACTATTTACACTTGTACGTACTGCCGACTAATGTCAAGTATCAACTTGTATATACAGCCATCTAATCGATTGACACTAGCACGTGTAAAAGCCTAAAAGGTCCCCACAACAAGACACAACCACATGACCCTTCTATCCAAGCTGGAGTCTGACATAAGATGAAGTGGGGTAGGATGGACTCGGTACTCACTAGGTGTTAGGGATGACAATGGGTCGGTTTGAGGCGAGTTTTGTAAAACCCAAACCCAAATTCATGGGTTTATCCGTCAAAAAAATCCGGGGTAAAACCCGTTGGGTTTGAAAAACTCAAACCCAATCCAAACCATTGAGTATCCGCGGGTTCATGGATATTTGTGGGTTTTTGTGGTAAAAAATTTACAATAACAAGTTTCTTTCAAAATAAAAGTTTAACATCAATTTTCTCATACAAATTAATCATACAAAAAACACCAATCTAGAGCATACAAGCAAACCGCAAATGATCAATACAAAGTGCTCAAAATTAAAGATAAACATATATAATCAATAAGATTAATTGAAAGCTTCTTCCTCATCAACTAAGTTTCTTCACTCTCCATTTCATCATATCAACTTCATTCTAAACAATTAGAAAGAACAAATTATACATGTCTCCACAAACATAAAGAATATTAGTTGTTTAAGGAAGATATATTATTTAGAAGGGCTAATACCACTACAACACCCGAACTATTGCGAAAATGCCATTTGTGTCCTATTGTTTCCAATATTCCATCTGTGTCATGAACTATGATTCCGTTAGTGTTGACTTTTGTTGACCGTTAGTTTTTAACAGAAAATCTAGTCAGCGCTGATGTGGCATCTGACGTGTAATTTTTAATATTTATTTTGATTTATTTTCCATCTAAATTAATAAAATAAAATAAAAAAACTCATTTCACAGATCCCTCGTCCCACTAATCCCCTCTTCCCCAATTTCGCCAAATACAATTTCACAGCAATCCCTCCAATGGAAACAAACCAAAGGAAGCAGACGAACGCGATCAGATTGTTATTCAATCAAGCAAAATGTTCAGCAAGCTGCAAACTGAGAATCAATCAACTAGAACGCAATTCCTATCTCATGACCACAGCTTCAGATACAGACACGAAAGCAAAAATCAGAGGAAACTAGGGTTCCGAGGAGCTGGAGACGGAAGATCTACAGACCTCCAAGTTTTTCCCCTGAACGATCAGTTCGACCAAAACAGAGGACAAGAAAATAAGGGAAAGGGGACCCAAATCGACGACTTCCCTTCTTGGGAATCCAGATCCGCCGACAGATCGAGCGGTGACGGTAAGCTTCAATTTCTGAGTCAAGGGAAGAGGAAAGGCGGGAGTGGTTGCGTAGCCAAATCTCCCGACCGGCATGCCTCAATCAACACCACCACAACGCCGTAGGTAGCAATAGCCCAATCATTTTCCGAATCGGTAGTGATAGCTTCCACAGCCACCGTCGCCTTCTCCTTCTCCTTCAACGTCATCGATTCGGATTCAAGAACTCTCAACTACTGTGGCATTATTGTGAAGGGGATAATTGCAGAGGAGGGATTCCGCAACAACTGCGGCGGAGGATTTGAGGTCGAAGATTGGAGAGGATCCCAAGAGAGAGAGAGAGAGAGAGAGAGAGAACTGAAGGGGCGACTCTGTTCCTCTGTTGTTCATCATCGTCCCTCTCTCCTCTCCCATCTCCGCCTACTGCTTCTTTCGGCTGCCGAAGCTGTTCCACTGGTTGTATCGAATCAGAGCTTCATCGTCTTCCAGATGGAGAGTGTTGAGGAAGCGAGGTCGCTGGAAGAGCAGCTTGTCGTGGGGGAAGGCGGCAGCGAGATATCGTTGCCATAAATGCTGATTCGCGGAAGGGATTTGAAGGCGGTGACGATGGCTAGAATTGAGGGCAGGGATAGGGTGAGGAGTAGGTTGAAGGCGACAGTGGGTATACAGTAATTTTTTATATAATTATTTTGTATTTTAATTTGATTTTGAATTAAAAAGTATATGTGGTATGATGTGGCATCTACGTGGATGCCACATTTCCTTCCTTGTCAGCAAAAGTCAACATCTCTTTGATCACTGTCACGTCAACCGTTAGAGATAACGGTCAACGAAATCGCCAGGATACAAATGACACAAAGTATCATAGTTCAGGATAGAAATGGAATATTGAAAAGAATAGGACACAAGTGGCATTTCTTCGATAGTTCGGGTGTTGTAGTGGTATTAGCCCTATTTAGAATATTAAATATATTGGGAAAGTAATTATATGTGTGTGGGCGGGTACCCATGGGGCGGGTTTACCTAAACCCAAACCCAACCCGACCCGGTGAATAGTGTAGCGGGCTTAAACCCAAACCCGGCCCAAAACCCGTCAACATGGGTTTTACCCGCGTTGACCGGGTTGGGTCGGGTGGGTACCCGTGGGTTCGGGTTTTGTTGCCATCCCTAGTCAGTGTGGTGGTTTTTGACAGGTTGGAAGAATTTCAATTTCTCTTTTCAATTTGAGTCTCAATTCATCACTATATACATTTTCCATTCCCTTTTATCATCTCAATCATTATGATATTGTTCGCTTTGTATCAAATTCGCACGAATTTACTTTTATACATATTTGTCAAAAAACTTAATACATATTAATAAGTTTGGACAATAATATACAAAAGTCGCTTTTCTTTTGGGTACCTACACTCTCTAACTTGACAGCTTTCTTTGCCTTATGAAATTTTGGTCAAATAACACAGGTTTGGATAATGGAAATAGCATGATTTGTCAAGTCAAAGACAGGAATTTGTTAATAATATTTATATAGGTACCTTTGTGTAATTGTACAGATAGGTTTGTAGTGTCAAACCACTATATATTCCGCTATAAACTTACATTAAGGTTAAGAAATAAGAAAAACATAAAACCTGAGGGAGATCCTCTTCATGGACTAGTGTAATGCACATCATGCCACGTTAAAAAAAATATATTCTTTCGTTTTGTTTGATGATTTGACATAGTATCAGAGCCTGCAATCTAAGATCGATTGATCTGATTTTGTAGGTCTCGGCTTGTTCTTTGCTGGCCTTCTTTGTAGCAGCCTAGGGTTCTTCGTCTTTGCTCTTGGTACAGACTTGTTACAGCTAGGGGTGGCATTCGGTCGGTTTCGGTTTAACTGAAAACTGAAAACCCGGTTATCGGTTAAACCGAGCCACCCCCTATAGCTGCCGACCAGAGGTCACGGTTAGCCGGCCAACCGACCGGTCGGTTTCAGTTTCAGGCTCGGTTAGCCGGCCAACCGAAAAAAAAAACTAAAGTTTAAATAAAAAAACAAAAATTCTCCACCACTCATCTGAATCCTTATCTCCTCCTCTCTCCTTCCTTCCTCCACAAGACCACTTCTCTTCTCTCTCCTTCCTTCCTCTGCCATTTCACACCCACCAAACCACTTCTTCTTCTCTCACCTTCTTTCTCCATGGATGAACAGATCTGCAGGGGTCGCCGGGGGAGATTGACAAGGCGTCGGCGGAGCAGGGAGAAGGCGGAGTAGGGGTCTCGGAGACGGGAGACCTAGCGCCGGCGGGGGAGGAGTGTTGGCTCGCGGCCGACGGAGGGAGGAAGGCGGGGTCGTCGGGGAGGGGTGGTGGTTGGATGGGGGCGACGAGGGTTGTCGCAGGTTGTTGACTGATGTTGTTGTCGGGCGGCGCGGCGATGGCGGACTGGCGGTGATGGAGGACTGGAGGAGGGTTGCGGCTGTACATGGGCGTTGGGCCGTGCTTGGGCTGACACGGCACGGGCACGCTTCGAGCTCATTTATTTTGTGCCATGCTTGGCACGGCCCGTCAGTTTTCGTGTCGTGCCATGCAAGCCCATTTGTTAACTTTGTTAGGCCCGGCCCAGGCCCGGGCACGGTTCGAATCGTGTCGTGCCTATTCGTGCTTGTGCCATGCTCGTATTCGTGTTTGATGAAAAGGACCAAAACAAAAGAGAATGAAAAAGGAGGTGAAAATTGGACGGGGGAAGATAGTATTAACCGATAATGTTTGAGAAAAGTAACAAATAAGGGGGAAAAGAAAATTGAAAGTATAGCGTGTGTGATTTGGCTTTGTTTAATTCTTTGTCCATTTTTACTTATATTAGTAATTACGTATATATCTTTATGACATTTCTAACAATAACAAATAATTATTTTTTCTACTTGTGTTTTGATATATTTGAACCTATAATTCTTTTTAAATTTATTTTCTATCAAATAAATATTATTTTCGTGCCATGTCTGTTCTTATACTCAATAAAGTCTCAAAAATATTAGGCCCGACACGGCCCACTTATATACCGTGTCGTGCCCGTGAAGTTTAGGCCCTGCACGACCCATAAATTATTCATGCTCGTGCCGGGCTGGCCCATTTTTTTTTACCGGTGCTCGTGTCGTGCTCTGACCGTGCCGTTCCATGCTAGCCCATGGGCGGCACGTCCCGTTGCCCACGTACAGTTGTGGCGCTGCGGGTGTTGATTGATGTTGTTGCCGGGCGGCGTGGCGATGGCGGACTGGCGGTGATGGAGGACTGGAGGAGGGTTGCGGCGCAGCGATTGGAGGGAGGCGAAGGGGCGATTAGAGGGAGGCGGCAAGGCGATTGGAGGGAGGCGGAGTCGTCGCCGGCTCGCCGGTGCTGTGCTGCATGGGAGTGGGATGGTTGTACGAAACGGGAGGGTCTGAGGGAGGATGGAGGAAGGAAGGGAAGGGCTGCTAAGGTTGGGGAAGGGTTGGGGAGTTTTAGTTAGGCCAAAATGGGGTCGTTTAGTCGTTTGGTTAGCCGGTTAACCGGCGTCGGTTTTTTGGCTTACCGCCTAACCACTGACCGCTTCCGACAACCGACCACCACCTGTTTATTTCGGTTTCTGGTTATCCGCTAACCGATGGTTAATGGTTAGACCGGCTGGTTAGCCGCTAACCGACAACCGAAATGACAACCCTAGTTACAGCTACTCGGATTTAAGGGATTTGCTTATTCTTGGTGATTGGTCTTTTTGTTCGATAGCACATTGGTTCGCAACTATTGTTGTCCCTCTTTGTGTCACTACAAAAAATGTCATTATTGACGATACGTTTTGCTTCGTTAAATGTAATATCTTGTCAGTAATACATTTTACCGACGACATATGTTCGTCGTTCGTCATTAATGAAAAGTCTCATCGGTAATAGTTTATTACTGACGCCAGATCAACAAAGTTCTTATTAGCAACGCGATGTTTTCATCAAAACATTAAAAACTGACGCAAGAAAAGAAGCCATTCACGACAAAGAAAGATGACAAAAAATTTTACTGACAAGTTATATATTCTCTTATGACGACCTGGTGTCGTCAGAAGTACATTATTTATGATGGACCTTAAGAAATAATACTTTTACCGACGTCGATATGTCATTATTAAATCGAACCATTATGTTAGTATTGACGACGAAAAAATAAATAAATATGATGCCCCGTCAAAATTGAAACAACTCGGAATTACTAAATCCTTGGGCTGAAAATTTATTCGTGGCTACCGTAGATCGTTAGAAATATATTACTTATGATGCTCCGTTAGAAATATGCTAAATTGCAAGTTTGGTCACTAGAATTACTTAAAAAGTTCATGTTTGCCACTAAAATTAATTTATTTCATCTATAGTCACTTAAACTATGTTAACAGTGCAAGTTTGGTCACTGGCCGTTAGTCTCCGTTAACTTATGCTGATGTGGCGATCAACTCTTATAGTTGACTGTTAAATGAGTGATGTGGCAATTACTAAAATAATTTAATTTAATTATTTAATTTTCCACCTAATTATTAAAAAAATAAAAGAAAAAATCATAATTTCTTTAATTATTATTTTCCACCGGTCGTCGTCGTTCCTCTCCCCTCCGGTCGACGACCTCTCCTGGCCGGTCAAGCCCTGCGCCATCACTGTCTTGGTCCTTTGAGCATTCGAGAGAGAACCAATTGCCCTACTTTCAATATGAAAATGTTGAGTGAGAATGTCAATATGAAAATATTGAGTCCGTAGTCATATCTTGCCTTCATCTCGGGAAAGAACCTAGCAAAATGTCACCACCGTTGCTGCAAGAATACATGTTTTTCGCCATCATGAACATTGTAGGCGTATGTGAAAACAAGTCGTATATTTTACGTCAAACCCGCCTTAATCAAAATTCCGATACGTACCTATGAAGAAAACAAAGGAGGCGATTAGAATGGGAGCTCCAGTTGGGCCAGAGAGGATTGGCAAGTGATGAGCTCCGATGCAAAGACCACTAGTTTAAACATAGATCATAATAACATGGATCTTAGAATTAGATGATTTTATGAATCGGTAATAGATCAAGGAAACCTACCTCGATCCATGACGAGAGCGGCGACGACGGCTTGAGTAGTAATCACTGAATTGAGTTTCTCCCTCTTGACCCCTTTAGGTTTTAGGTTTAGAGATTTCTGTGACGGCTAAGAAATTCTATGTAATGGGTTGAGAGAGGACCAATCCTAGGGTTTCTTTATATAGACCCACCATCAGGGTATATTAGGAATTTACCTTTCATTAATCTAACCAATATAGGACTTACCCTTATATATTAAACCATTAAGTGATAATTACACTTGGGCCACAATTATTCCCTAGTGATCTATACGGGAATTGGGCTTACATTCTCCCACTTGGCCCATGTGTCATTATATATCACAAGATCTAATAATAAACATAAGTGTGCACATCATAAGATAAATCCATAATATTTGGTTCACCATAAAGTCATAATCAAGTATGAAAGCTAGATTAGGATAATGTGTAATAATAAACCATGATTCATAGCTTCATAGCAAGCTATGAATTCAGCTTCCATAGTGGATGTGGCAATAACAGACTGCTTCGCACTCTTCCATGAAATTGCCCCTCCGGCTAGAAGGAATAAATAGCCAAAAGTAGACTTCCTAGTGTCTACACATCCAGCATAATCTGAATCTGAATATCCAATCACCTCAAGGTGATCAGCTCTCCTAAAGATGAACGTGATCTTTTGTTCCTTGCAGATACCTTAGTACTTTCTTTGCAGCTTTCCAATAATCTACTCCTGGGTTATTTTGATACCTGGCCAGCATTCCGACAGCAAAACTTATGTCTGGTCTGGTACAAGTTTGTACATAATTCAAACTTCCAACAATAGATTCATAAGGAATGTGTTCCATTTGCTTGCGTTCCAATTCATTCTTTGGACATTGTTTGAGACTAAATTTATCTCCCTTCTGAATTGGAACAACATTTGCAGAGCATTCAACCATGTTGTATCTCTCTAGGATCCGATTAATGTATGATTTCTGAGACAATCCCAACAGTCCTTGTGATATATCATGAAATATTTCTATTCCAATCACATAGGATGCCTCATCCAAATCCTTCATTTTAAAGTTCTTAGAGAGAAACTCCTTGGTTTGATGTAATAAACCAAGATCATTAGTAGCAAGCAAGATATCATCAACATATATAACTAAAACTATAAACTTACTCCCATTAATCTTCAGATATATACATCGATCGACGATGTTTTCCTTAAATCCAAAAGATGTAATGGTATCATTGAACTTAATATACCAATGTCGGGAAGCTTGTTTAAGTCCGTATATTGACTTCTTTAATTTACACAACATATGTTCTTTTCCCTCAACCACAAACCTTCAGGTTGATCCATATAGACTGCTTCATCTAAATTTCCATCTAGAAAGGCGGTTTTCACATCCATCTGATGGAGCTCTAGATTATAATGAGCTGCCATTGCCATGAAAATCCTTAAGGAGTCTTTCTTAGAGACGGGTGAAAATGTCTCTTTATAGTCAACACCACTTTCTGAGTGAAACCTTTGGCAATAAGTCTGGCCCTGTGTCTTTCGATATTGCCATTAGAGTCGTGTTTGTTCTTCCAGACCCATCTATTACCAACTCTTTCACAACCTTCGGGCAAATCAACAAGGTCCCAAACTTCATTTTTATACATAGATTTCATCTCTTCTTTCGCGGCAGCTAACCATTTATCAGAATGCTCACTTTCCATGGCTTTTGAAAATGAAACTGGATTATGATAGAGTCCTAAATCAGATTCTAACTCATGAAGATAAACCTCATAATCATCAGAAATTGCAGGTCTTCGATTTCTTGTAGACCTTCTTAATGCGATTTCTTGTGGTTCATCTATGTTAGGTTCATTCTCAATAGCAATATTAGGTGGTGCTTTATTGTTCATTTGTTGTTCTTGCAAATCATTATCATGCTCAACATGTGCAGGAGCAACAACTTGAGAAGAGGGTAGAGGCAAAGATATTTGCACTCTAACTTCTTGAATTTCCACATTGTGTGGCTCTAAGCTCCCACTAACTTCACCATTCTCAATGAACCTTATTTCCAGTTCAACAATTCTTGTACTATGGTTAGGTCAATAAAATCGATACCCCTTAGATTTTTTTGGATAACCAATGAAGAAACCACTGATTGTTCGTGAGTCCAGTTTCTTTTCATGTGGATTATATATTCTTACTTCCGCTGGGCAACCCCAAATATGCAGGTGCCTTAAACTGGGTTTCCTTCCCGTCCACCGTTCAAAAGGTACCTTAGGAACTGCTTTACTAGGAACCCTGTTTAACAAATACACAGCGGTCCTTAAAGCGTGCATCCACAATGATTTGGGTAAAGATGAGTTGTTTAACATACTCCTAACCATATCCATTAAAGTACGATTCCGCCTTTCTGCAACACCATTTTTTGCGGTGTTCCTGGCATTGTGTATTGAGCACAAATACCACGTCTTTCTAGGAACTTAGCAAATGGACCTGGGCACTGTCAACTTTCATCATATTTTCCATAATATTCTCCACCTCTATCAGATCTGACAATTTTCACCTTTCTTTCTAATTGCCTCTCAACTTCATTGATAAACACCTCAAGGGTATCTACCGACTGAGATTTTTCATGCAACAAATAGATATATCTATAACGTGAAAAATCATCAATAAAAGGTAATGGAATACTTTTCTCCACCAAGTGATGGAACATCAAAAGGCCCACAAATATCAGTGTGTATAATTTCAAGGAGCTGTGAGCTTCTTGTGGCTGCTTTATTAAGTGTGTGTTTTGTGTGTTTTCCTTTAATACACTCAACACAAATTACAAGATCAGTAAAATCCAATTGAGGAAGGATTTCATTCTTTACTAGCCTTTCCATTCTTTCTTTGGATATGTGACCCAACCGTTTATGCCACAAGTAAGCAGAGGATTCATCAAACAAACCACGTTTAATACCAACATTATGATGCAAGGTTAAGAGAGTCTCAGCGAATAGGGTATCAAGATTTAGTTTGTACAAACCATCAACAAGGTTACCAGAACCCAATAAAACATTCTGTTTGAACAAACTAATAGAACCATTTCCAATGTTCCAAAAATACCCAGCCTTATCTAGTTGAGACACCGAAACCAAATTACTAGAAATATAAGGAGCATAAAGGGTATTGACAAGGTCCAAATGATGACCAGTATCTAAAACCAAACGATAAGTCCCAATAGCTTCAACTAGAACTTTGGCTCGGTTTCCCATATAGATGAACTTCTCATTTTGTCTTATGGTTTGGGTCGTAAGGAATCCCTGCATCGTTTTGGAAACATGAATGGTACAACCAGTGTCAACCCACCAAGTATTATAAGGAACCTCAGTTAAATTTGATTCGAAACATACTGAAGCACTAGGCTTACCCTTTCTTTCGAACCATGCCTTTCTTTTCCAGCAATCTTTCTGATAATGTCCGACTTTCTTACAGAAGCGGCATGTATCCTTACTTGGTTCCTTCTTGTGGATTTTGGCAGATGACTCATTAAGTTTTGATAGTCCTTCCTTGCCCTTCCCATTCTTGTTCCATGGTTTCTTTCTGGCTCCTTTATGACCAACAAGATTGGCGGAATGATTTCCTGGTTTCTTAAGCCTTGCTTCCTCTTGAATGAGCATGCTTTGTAAGTCATGCACATTCCATTTATCCTTTAGAGTATTGTAATGCACATGGAATGTGGCATACTCTGGAGGTAAGGAATTAAGGATGAACGTTACTAGGAAATTTTCATTCACTTCCATTCCCATGGTCTTTAGTCTTGCTGCAATATTCGTTATTTCGACGATATGCATGCATGGTACGAGAACCATCAAACTTCATGGTGGTTAGCGTACCCCTCAGTGTCCCAGCAAGCGACTTATCAGCAGACTCGGATTGAGAGCTTGATTTCACGGAATTCATAAATTCCTTAGCACTTTCAGTATCATTGAAAGTTGACTTAATGTTGTTTGCTACAGTCATTTGCATAAACATTATGCTTAGTCTGTTAGATCTTTCCCAAACTTTATGGAAAGACTTTTCCTTAGCACTGCTAGCATCAGTAAGAGCAGTATGTTTCTCACTTAAGAGTCCCAAATCAAGATCCAGAACACCGAGGTGAAACTGAACATGTTCAGCCCATTCAGAGAAGTTGAGGCCATTAAACTTAACAACGGACATGGCTTGCGAATGAAGAGAAACACGAACAAATGCTGCAAACATATATAACATGTACTCACACATTAATGCCTTCCGTAATAAGCATAAACATAGAATATATATTGGTGCTACCTTTGGGAAAAACAACAATATCTATGCGATAAATAATCGTGATTGATGCTCAAAATAATCATATAATTGGTGATAGACATACTCAAATTAGATATAATTGCAATTTTTGGATATACTAAATATATCTAACCAAGCATATCAATTTACCACGATTATGTTCATGAATTATAAAACGAGCAATCAACCTTAGGGCGATTCAAAATATTTTATACACGAACTTCAACTTAAAAGTATCACATAAACATTAGCAGTTGAACTTGATTCAACTTGATATCTATAAACCTTCTAATTTGGACACTTTAGTGACTAACAAATTAATTATAAAGTAGATATCAAATGTAAAATTTTAACTTAAGGTAAGACAATTGTTAATAATACTTTGAAATACGCAGACCCAAAACTTGAGTCTCTAATTGCATACTGTTACTAATGGAAAAACAATATTAATCATCATCGAGACAAACATAAGGCTTAATCAACCTTCCCAAACTCTTAATTAATCGAACGCATATACAAAAGCAATAGTAATAATCCCTAATTGCTTTTATCATGATTTTAGTTGAAAAGGAAATAAAGGCAAGATACTGTCATCTCATATCATTGTAATTGAGGAAACAAACATATCAATATATCATGTAAGTATAAACATACTTGCACTGCACATATATATGTTCTTGATAAACGGCGAATAATTGCTCGACATACAGAAGAACCAACCGCAAAGAAGTTAAATATAGCAGTGTACAAATCTCGAACGCGTGGACTCAATAGAATAAACAGATGATCAATCTGAAGCATCAACAAGCTTTAATCATGCATAAGCGATTGATAT